GTTCAAACCCACCAGCCACTCCTCGGAAGGAAGGTTGGGCAATCCTACTTCCGTAGTGATACTGCCTCGGAAACCCAAGGGGGGGTCGCTATGAGTCGGGTTTGACTCGACGGCACATAATAACAACAACAACAACAAGCTCACCTAGATAACTGATGTCTCCTCCTGGATGCCATTTGGAGACCCCTACTAGACTTTCCTTTTTCCACAAGCCCATTGTTCACTTGATCCGCAAACTGAGCAATGGGTCCCTGCTCCCCATCTCTCTCTCCTCTTTTTCTCTCTAACCCTTCTGGAAATGTTTTTAAATTCAGGACTTTGTAAGCATGAGTAAAACTACCTACAGCATAAAACAGACTACCTAAAGCTAAACTACACCATGTCCAAGCACACCTCAGAGCTATATTGTACAGGAGCTAATTACCTACCACTGAGCTCTAGTAGAGGACCTCTGGTGGCATAGTGCCTAAGGCATTTGACTGCTAACCAGAAGGCTGGTGGTGCAAACCCACCAGGCACTCCTCAGAAGGAAGACTGGGCAATCTACTTCTGTGAAGATACCACCTCGGAAACCCCAGGAGGGATCGCTGTGAGTGGGGTCCAACTCAACAGCACATAACAACAACAACAGCCTATTACAGGCATTTTTCCAGTGTCATTGAAATTTTCTCCAAAATGTCCATTTCAATAGCTGCGTATGATTCCATGGATGTGTGATAATTCACTTTAACATCCCTGTCTTACTGGATACTTAGGCTGGCTGTTCATTTTTTTTTTTTTTATTGTGATTTGGGTGAAGATTTACAGAGTAAATTCACTTTCCATACAGCAGTTCCCATATACTTTGTCTCATGTCATTGACCACAGTTTACCACAATCCAACAGCTCCCCTCCCACTTCCTCCCCATAGATACCACTTCCCAGTATCCCTCCCTCCATACTCTCCTGCCCCCTGAGCTGTCTCCCTGTGCATAAGCAACCCTTCCTTCTCCCATGATTGTTCTCTCCAGGGCGTGTGTCTACCTGAGGTAAATGTTTAACTCACATGCCTTTACTTTGTTTGGCTGGAAATCACAGCTGTGGGTTCAATTCCAGACCTGAAGGGCAACTAGGGCCCATAGTCTCAGTGGTTCCACCAGACTCCATTGGACCAGCAAACCTGGTCCCAACCATCTTTTTTTTTTTTTCCCCCTCCAAATGATTTTGAGTTTTGTTCCACATTGTTCTCCCTCT